GTCGTATTGACAGTACCTGAGTGGTTGAAGAATACGCTACAGCGCTCATTCAAAGACGTGCATTTATTGCTTGGACGGAGCAAGAACACATGTAGATTCAGTCAAGTGATAAAGTTTACCCTCTTCAACTTAATGCTGCTGAACTGAATTTATGGAGCAAACTATTTGCTAAAATATCCATAACATGAACAGCACCGCAGAAATACAAGCGTGTGGTTCTGTCAGTCAGATGCGCATGAAAGCTGCGTGTGTTACTATAACAAACACTGTGCTTTCTTTCAGAATCATCATTGGCTGGCAGAAAGACAAAAATTTTAGACACATTGTCAGTAATTTCACCAATGAAAATAAAGCCCTAGGAGAACTGTTGTGCGTCAAAGATCAACACACAGCGGTGTTTCATTAATGAATCCACGTTTTTAAATGAATCGAGTGAATCGATGATTCAGTGAACCATTCATAAAGGCAGTCATTTGCTTAGTTTCTGAATGAATCAGCCGTTTGAACAAATAAATTGACTGAATGATTGAATGACTCACTTAAGACAGGGATTTGCCGCCACCTACTGGCGCATTTAGTTTTATATTCAGTGTATCGTTTCTTTTTCAAATAATTTCATATTTCACTATTTATTTGTATTTTTTATTGAATTAAAATATTTCTTTCTAAAGCTACTTATATTTCAGCTACCTTTTTTAATGTCTATTCAGTGTTTTTTTCTAAATTAACACAATGATAAATATTATCTTTAAAAATAACTTTATCTTTAATTGGCACATGATGTACACGTTAATCAATTAATCTCATTCATTTGAGATTCATTTGATTAATTAATCAGCACATTATGTAATTACAGTTTTTTTAAATAATCACTTGACAGCCCTATTTAAAACATAAAAAAATACCCCCCAAGTGCTCTGACCCCCCCGATGGTCACTGCGTAATTCGCACCCTGAGGATACACATGCACACTTCACAAGATCTCACAGCTGGATCCGACTAAGTTTGCAAGGTTTTTGAAATTAGATGTTTATTAGACATTCAAAGATTTGTTTAAATTATATAAATGCGTATTTGCTGAATGCTGACGGCAAACAAGAAAGTATTATATTGTTTGCCTTTCTATTACTAATAATATAAAAGCAATCGTTATAAGCATTTTTGTATACATTAATTCCTTTGTTTAACTGTTCTATCTGATTATTAGACAGACTTCTATCCGTATTTAGACAGAACTGTTAATGACAACAGCGAACAAGAGGGAGAATGTGAGCACTGTGTGCTCAGGCGTCAAAATAAAAGTAATTTGCGCCGTCAAAATAAAAGTCCTTGAACGCATCGGCCAAACAGGAAAACTTATCGGCCGATGCCGATATTTAAAAAAATGCCAAATATCCTAGTAGACCACTACTAGGGCTGCACAATTAATCAAATTTCTAATCGCAATCTTTCTAATCGAATTTCTAATCGAGACCCCGATGAGGACGACGAGCATGCAGATGAGCTTTAGGCACACCTGTGCAATAATCATGCTGTATAATCAGCATCTTGATATGCCACACCTGTGAGGTGGATGGATTATCTCGGCAAAGGAGAAGTGCTCACTAACACAGATTTAGACAGATTTGTGAACAATATTTGAGAGAAATAGGCCTTTTGTGTACATAGAAAAAGTCTTAGATCTTTGAGTTCAGCTCATGAAAAATGGGGGCAAAAACAAAAGTGTTGCATTTATAATTTTGTTCAGTGTATAAAGTCAAAAACAAGTGGAATATTCTTCAAAATATCCTCCTTTTGTTAGAAAGTCATACCGGTTTTAAACTACTGTATCCCCCCTAGAAAAGTTATACTAAAAATTGAGCAACTGCGAGATCTGAGTATAAGGGAGTCTGCTTTTCACTGGACAGTTAAACTGTCAACAAAAATGAGAGGTGTAAATACAGCAGCCAAATTACATCCTATTGTTGACAATCCAGTTTTGACAGTTAAGAGCATCTGGGGGATTTCACATAACTTTAATACAAAAGACAATTCATAGAGCGCAACAAAACACTTTAAAGAAATATGTAAGATGGCAAATCAAACAGAAGATTTGCACAGGGCGAAAAACCCGTGTTCTTCTTAGAATGGGATTTTGCTTTCATACTTCTACACTGGATGCTAGAACAACATCTCAGACAAACCTCAGTTTCCACATGCAGTATAGAAGACTGTCTCCACCACCCCATATGCATTCAAAGCCAAGCACTCAAAGGAGGATTTTCAAAAAGCTGTTGGGATAATAAACAATGCAATAAATATAAGTAATAAAATATAACAGATGATTTATCTCAACAAAACATTTCTGGATCATTATTTTTGGATCTATATCAGCAGCTGTTTTATTTGATGATCTAAACACAACAAAAAGTGTTCACTCTGAACAAGAAGAGAATTCTTCATGTCCCAATTTTAGGCTTGCATAACAGTGAACAGCACCCTGTGGAGTCATTCCATTTTCAATTCAGTTGTTAAGTCAAGTGCGCGGAATGCAGAGCAACGGAAGCTGAATTAGAGTACTGTTCTGATTTTCATTTACTGTACTAGAGTTGTGTAAGAGTTCATAGAAGTAGGTTTAAATTAGAAAACATTTCCTTATGCTTCTTATTTCCCAGACACAGAAGACAGTTAATTAAAATACCCTGTTGTTTCCTTCTTTTTGTTCTCATGTATTTTCTCTCACCAAGCCTTCCACAGACACACATTCTCAAACACACCTCACTGCCCTTGTTCTCAGGTGTATAAAGTGTATAGAGTCAGCTATAATCAGTTCATCAACCAGACCAACCACATATTTCCTCTGTTTACTACGGGATATTGCACTTACACAACCGTCATTTTTTACACTCTCTTAACACTGTCATGAGATGAGGCCCTTGCACACTGTAAATTACGCAGGCTCCTGTGTATGGCTTCTCTTACAGGCATCCAAAAGTGCTTCTACAGCACACTCGACAGTTACACATTAGCCATGAAGTTGTTCCATGGGTTTACTTTAAATCTTGCACTGCAGAGCTTTTGTTTGTTTGGAAACTTGATAAATTGCACCGGCAGATCACAACACCGCCAGCTGCACAGTAGACTGATGTCCTTGAATGCAAAGTTTGTGATGAGTTTGCTGTCCCGCCACATGATTCAAATCAAACTGCAGCCGCATAAAGCCTGTGTCAACACCAAACAAGGTGAACATGCTGCCCTCTGTGGGAATGACTACAAACATGTCCAAACAGGCATGTGGGTATAAACAAATCCACATATACTGAATGAATGCACTCTGACATGCCATTGGATTATGATATTTACTAGCCCCAGCAAAACTAGACTGTCAGGAGAAAGTAAGTACTGCCTCTTCAGGCTCTTCAGCCCTTTCAAAGTGAGTTGAAAGACCTGAGTGGACAAGCCCACATTAGGACTAATTATTCCCCTGTGATCAGTCAGGAAGGGACAGGTGGGACATTTCTTTAGTTAAGGAAACAGAAAAAGATTTTTAAAAAATCAGTCACATGATATACAATAACATTATTAATATTCAAATATAGCGCTTGCTCAGTTGAGCTTTATGACCAGTCTTAACATTCCCAGTGCATTTTTAACAGCAAACTAAAGTGAAAAGACAAGTCTAGTCTTTCTTCTCACTAAAGGGCATGACACTTGAGTGAACAGTGTCTTAGGTCACAGAGCACCGAGTTAATAATAAAACACACTTCCCCTTTTTCTTGGCCCCGCTTCCCTGCAGCAACCCTGAACATGCTTGTGACCGCTGCACCAGAAACCCTGCTTAGTCAACCACGACCCTGCTTTGAAGTTAGCACACACTTCCTGCAGGTTTCAAGAAAATCCAGCCTTTTAGGATCTGAAAATGAAGGAGGAAAACTAAGGAGGTCACAAATGATGCAACGGTCAGGATGAGCTTACTAAACAGGAAAGTCTTTTCCCTACAGTCTATTTTTTTTCCTCCAGTTTTGACAAGTGGGTCTAGCAAAATCTCAAATAAATCTGCTTGGTGGGATTTTTGAAAGATTCTCACTTCCTTCACTCAAAAAACCCCGCCTTCCTTCTGTCTCCGCTCTGGTTTCCAGCCAAATGTATGAAAATTGCTTTCAGAAACCTTGGCATGCTTTTGTTTTGAATGGGAAAGAGTTCAGGGCAATCCATACATGTCTATCATTCGCTAGCAACTGTGCTTTTTTAATATAGTGGTACCTGAGAAAAGAGCAGTAGAGCAGGGGGGAGACACCAGCCATCTATCTGTAATGGAGCATCACACGTGGGGGATAGGGAGTTAGTGTTCTGCAACGCTCCACTACACACAAGGGTCTCTCCGGTGGCCGAACCTCCCCCGCAAACACCCCCTAAAGTTGCCTTCATGCCTCATTTCACAGATAGAGATCTTAATAGCCTCAACAAAACTACTACAACAGCTCGCTCGCAAACTGGAAGTATCAGCCACATGAATGACATGGTTTGTAATGATACACTAGCCATGCTCAAGCAGTACACGATTCAGCAGTGTGAGTTTTCCTGCAGATATTAAAGGGATAGTTTAGTCAAAAAGTACAATTCTGTCATTATTACGTCCCTCTCATGTTGTATGACTTAGCTACTTAATTCTGTGGTTAAAACTGTTTTTTACTTCGTTTGGAATGACTTAAGGTAAGTAAATAAGAGAATTTTCATTTTTGGAAATAAATAAATAAATCCACATTTATACATATGCACTACAGCTACCACATAGAATACAAATGTCTAGACATGACAGATCTATGGCACCTGCTAAAATTTTGCAGTGGTCAACCAGGCCTCTAGCTGATCTATTTCCAAACATGCATGAAATCATAATTCCACAAGAACCGTTACCAGCTTGAGGCAACATAAGAGCCACCTGTAGAGCGAATCAGTACCTGCTCTAAACACCAACCCAAACACAGCACATTTTGAATGCCATCATCAGTCTCACTGACCTTGCAGATCTTGCTCTCCTCTGCTTCTCTGCTGCTGCGTGCCAAAGTTGTGGCTGGAGCTGGGACCAAGCTTGACCTCCTATCATGGATCTCCGTCTTGAGTGACAGCTGACAGGAGAGCAAAGAAGATTCCGTGACTCTGAGCTCCGAGCTCCTGGGTGTCAGTCCATGTGCCATGCTGCTTCTCCCAGGGTTGGGGATGGGCAGTGCAGTGTGGATGGGTTTGGACCCCACAGCCGGCTGCCGGAGTTTCGATGCAACGCCAACTACCGGCATAGTCCCTCAGAGTGCAAATCGCAGAGAGAAATAAGGAGGGGGAAAAGTGGAGGAGTTGTCTCTCGTGGCTTTCTCCCACAAGCGAGAGAGAGAGAGAGAGAGAGAGAGACGAGAGCCCTGTGTCTGCTCTTGACGTCTCGCAGGGACTGTAAGAGGTGGGAGGGGGGCGAATGGTCTCTTAGAGAGTGCTGCTAGCGGGAGAGAGCACGGACACGCTCATTCTGTTGCCGACAGCGTGTGCTGCTCTCAGTAACTGAGAAGGCTCCTCCACTACACATTCTCCACTCCTCCTCTCTCTCTTCCACTCCTCCTCTGACAGAGCGCCACTACAAAACCAAACAGCTCTCGGGGGCGTGAACTTCCCTGGAAGGTAACCACCAGTCTGCTCTCCTCACTGCCTGATTACCCAGACCTGAGTCTCTCTCACATGCACACACATGGATCTAACTCTCTGGTTCCTCCTCTGTCATTTGAAGAACATTCCACAACAGCGCGTCACACTCCGACTGCAACTGTCAAAACAGTCTCTCGGTAACCCAGCTCAGATCGGTGGACATAGACACCTCACACTGGCTGCAGCTGGAACAACTGAATCCTGTGATGAAAGAATGAGTGCAAAAAGAACACTCCAAAGACAGGGGAAACGTTTGAGGTTGTTTGGAGTGAAAGTAAGTCTGTATATATGTAACGGCCAACACAAACAGATGTTAGAGAAGGTCTACTCTCTTTAATCCCGGAAACAATCCACACTAAAGTTGTTTGTCTAGTTCCCTGGATTTAGCTACCAAACTCCAATTCGCTGTCTAGCTTCCTTTTTTTTGTGCTGTCAACTTTACTTTCACTCTCATCTCATCTATCATCCCCACCCAGTTCATGGAAATAGTTGGTGAAGAATCAGAAAGACAGGAAGGCTTGGAGACAGTGGACTGACAACAGAATTTGTGTTAGACTGTTTGCATAGCATTTGTGGCGGGTGAAGAGGAGAATCTGACAGTGGCGCTGACAGCACTGGCACCGACCTCCCTGCTAATTCATGTCAAATAAATAATCAGGGCATTTTCTTGTGTTTAGCCCAGGAGATATGATTCATTTCACATGAACAGAGGACAAACGAATCATTGCCCATGATCACTGAACAGTCTGTCATTTTGTACCTGGCAAAATGCCTGCATACATGGATTTTCAACTGTGGTGTGAAACTGAGCAGCCCTTGATGTATTAAAGACTTTATTAAGTGGGCAAAATATGACATGTACCATGGTTTTTAACAGCCGTTAGCCCGGTGTGAGACTTGAAAGGGAGTGAAAGTTTTATATGGAAAGAGCCCATCTGGTTCAGTTTAAAAGCAGGGATGTGTGGGGGAACAGCAAGGATTTCCACCACATCGGAGCACTTTAACATGGCAACGTCCAGTTCCTAAGCCTACTCTGAGCACCTAAAGTTTATTTAATACCTCAAGGGATAGACTCAACACTCACAAAACTAAGCCTATGTGTATGTCTGTTTGGTATATTTAGAATCAAGTGCATTTAATGAGATGATGATCATGTTCCTCCTTCATTAACATCATATTTTACTGCAGAGTGCAATCCAACAATTCTGCAAAGCAATGAATGACACCTATATCTTCAATCTGATAAAATTATATACAATTATATATTGAAAGAAACTGCTGTGATTTACTCAGAGGATCACATGTTACTGAATGCTCCAGGCAGGAGGTCGAATTCAACACAACAGCAAAGCCGGAATTTAATTTTCATGTCTTCCTTGCAGAGTTCACCAAGCTACTCTGGAAAAGCACTGCTGAATGCTGTACTTCCAGCAACCTGTGTTTTCCGAACACACTGCGGTAAAGCTGAGCTAAAAGTCTGCCTTGAAGAAGCCAAAGTCAACAGGAGCAGAGCAACCTCCAGGTTCAGTTCCATCTGAGCTCGGTAGGTCATGGCTAGTGCGCTGTTCAGACATTCAACAGCATTTCTCCACATCAGAGCCCATACTCGAGCTGGTTATGCGGGGACAAAGATCATAAAACATGATGAGGATTTTGATGGGAATGACAGCAATATTGTTGTTGATGCCGCAGGGCAATGATGGTAATCATAGAGTTCGCTCCCTCTGGCTTGTCTAGTGAGGCACAGTTGACAACTGTGGCCTGTACCTCTGAAGTACCATAATTCCTACAACAAACAATGCATCTTATGAGATTGGGCATGGGCAATGCTCCTTGGAAGAGGCTAGGAGCCCTGACACGAGCTAAATTTACAGCCTCAATCTCTATTTCTGAATGTGGGCTTAGCAGAGTTGCTCCATTCTAGGTGGCCTCCAAAGCCACAGTGGAGTATCTTGTGGCAGGGAAAAAGGGCATTCCAACAGGACCGGGGGAAGGGGTGGGCTGAGGGAGAAACCTCAAGATTTTCGGGTTGGGGGAGAATTATGGAAGACCCAAAAGCCACAGCCCAAGAGAGGAAATAGGAACTCAGCATCTCAAGACTCAAACCTCCTGGCCAAGCATCATAGTGTGTGATTAAGTCAACTTTGACTGCTTTCACGAAAGAGCCTGGAAGGAAATCTGCTGCTGTGTTTGCTGAGATACTCTCTTTTCTTTCTTTCTGATAAAAGCAGGGCAGCATTATACAATGAGCCCAAGCACGCATTGGGAAATCTCCAGCTGACTTGCTCCCGGTTGCCACGTTCATCCATGAATCGGAATATCATGAGAGGCCTGAGGCTTTGCACTGACAGGTTGCAGAAAAAGAAATACCAGGCAGAACCAAAGCAGTGGTTCCTGATTATACGGAACATCCCTGCGTGGGACCTGACGTCAGAGAGTGGCCTGCACTCCCTGTGAAAACAAGCAGAGAGGGAGAGACGGGCAGAAAGAGAGACTGAAAAAAAGAACGAGAGAGGGGTTGACCCTCTTGCATCCCCTCTGGACCCTCCCCTGTCAAAACAAATCCCTTGAGAGGCTGATAGTCACGCACCTGGTCCCCACCACAAGCACATGCTTATCTCGCCTCTGCATAAAGGATGGCATGGAAAAGAAAACACAGACACAGGGTGCTGGAGTCATGGATTCCTACTCCCCAGTCAACCTTTGACACCCTCCATGGGCTCTCACCCTCTGCCTGATGGGCTACAGGCTCCAGAGATAAGCTTTATATGGCACTATGATAGTATTAATTTTTCATCATTAGCATCAGAAGAGTGCTTCTTAAAATTCTCTTACCATGCTAATCCTCAAGAAGACTTCTAGTCTGGAGTGAATCATAGAGTATCAAGACATGACAAGGGTTAGAGGTGATGGAAGCACATCTATTCAATATATTATTTGTCGTTTCTTCTTCGTATTGAAGTCTTGAGCCCTTAAGGCCACCCTGATGGAGACAAGTAGTGAAACAGATTGAAACAATTCATTTTAGTGGGAGCAATTGCGTTCCATTTCGGATTCAAAGGGGTCGGAACAAATGGAATGTGAACTATCCTTTTTCAGACAGCCAAACTTATAAACACGCATTTAGCAAAAACGTCAAAGAAATTCCAGCTGCCCGGAGAACATGTTTGGAGCGGGTGGCTTGGCCACAACCCAAAAAGGAGTGGGTGGAAACAACACTACATTGAATCAAAGCCGCATCCTGCTTCCCAGCAGGAAATCTTCTACTTTCACCCAGAAACAGTGCTGCCACTTCTCTACTTAGTGGTCAACTTCGTCTACAACAATGAAACCTCAAAACCTGCTAAGTAATCAAGGGTCAATGACATATAACCATGTATTTGATAAAGAAAAATTAAAAAACTGGTACAACACCTGTGCCAAAATCTCACCAATGAACTCTTTGCAATTATGTTGGTTTCATGTAGCTTGAAACACGTTTATGCCATATTAAAGAAAAGCTTAAATTTATATTTTGATCATTTTAAAGAGAAAAATATTCAAGTTAAATAATTTTCTTATACATGTGAATATATACATCTTAGTCACTACTAAAAATAATGTAAAGCAAATCTTTTTCTAAGAAACCACACTGGTGCAATCATTCTATTAACAAGGTTGCAATCCCCATTATGATTTCATGACTGTTGTATCCCCTTGCCACTAATTTTACCATAAAATATCAAATTGAATTCTTCAAAGACTATACTCAGGTCATTGTAAATTATATAAGAAATAAGTGCAAGGTAATATAAGAAAGCAGTGCAAACCTTACTCCTGATAACAACTATGGTCTTCCCCTGTCAGTCCACATGTCTTGCTCTCTCCCTCTCTTTATTTCTTGTGCAAGATTTGGTCTCTTTCGAAACATTTTACAGCTGGTTTTGATAAAACTCAAGCAGGGAATCAGTGCCTTACCATTCAGAACAATAAGCAAAAGGCAGGTATTTACAGTAACTACAAATGTGCCTATTGTGGCCTAAAAATAACATGAAAGGGAGGTCAGCCATCAATCCGAACAAGAGGAAGAGGCCACCACAACACTGGGCTCAGTCCCAACTAAAGATCCCAGCAGAATAACACTAACATGAACAAGCACAATAGTAGATCAGTGAACACTCAGCTGCCCAGGAGTCAGCAGTTATGTAGCCAAGGTCAGAATAACAAACACAGACAAACTGTTAAAGGTCCAGCCCTCTGTGAGACTGACTGAGAGATTATTGGGTCCAGAAATGTGCACACCAGACATTGTGAAAATTAGATGGAAATGAAAACAACTGATTAGTTGTACACAAGAGCATTATGAATTACAATGTTTAATCTTCATTATCCTAACCAATATTCACACAGTGGCTTCAACTTAGAATCTAAAGGTCAATGGAAAATTTGGCCTTTTTTTATTAGAAATACATTACTTACTTAAATTACAAACATTACTTACTTAATTACAAACATTATAATGTTGGGCAATTCTAATGAAAACTATATAGAAAAATGAGCTATATAAATAAAAATACATTGATACTGTAGATCATTCAGAGAGAGCAGACAGGTTCCTGTAATGCTTCTCTGAGCCTCAATATCAAACCTTAACATATTGCATCCACATACATACAGCTGGCTCATCAGTAAATAGTC